TTAAGGTTAATTGAAATTGAATCGGAATCTATAGAATTTAATTGTGTTTATCTATTTAAATTCTATCAATTTGCTCCATGATCTAGTTGTGTTTTAGAAGTGGTTTCTATATTCAAATCATAGACTTAGACTTGTTGTATATTCATTTGGTTATGTTTTGAACATTGGATAACATAGTTGCTATGTTTGTATTCACGAGAATATGTTTTCCTTATTGAATATATTGTTGCCTTGTGTAATAATTTGCACACTTCGTGTTTAACATCTTTCATGCATAGTGTGTAACGAATCGCACACTGAAGATTCGATATTCATCATATCATATTAGCTGTGGATTTAGAGCATGTATTGTATAGGTTTCCAAATTTGGTTGTGCTTAGTAGATAGTTGATTATCTTGCATATTCCTATTGATATATGCGTTGTTGCACAACTTGTTGATTTTGGAAACTTGGGAATGTCGTTGTTTGACTATGGCTAGGACGTAGTTCTAGTACGGGGCATAGTCCCTCTATATGGTCTAGTGCGCACATAGGGAGGTTACCCATGGGCTATTAACCCTAAAGTAACTATGTTGTCGGTCTGATCCGGCGTGACGTCCGAGTATCCACTTTATTTGATTTTCATTTTCAAGTTGATAACTAGATGATGTTGTAACTTGTTGTTTCTTACTTGTCGTTCCATTTTAAGTTACAGGATGTTAACTTTGCGAAATTGTGCTTTATGCGTTGTATTGGAAGTTCCAATGTTGGTTAAATTGCATCGATATTGAAAATCGTGTTTTGACGTTCTAATAAGCTCAGGATTGATCCTATTGATTCATTTATAACTTAGACGTTAGGTGGCATGACCCACTTCTGTTGTTTTTGTGCTTTAGATTTCAAGCTGATAGCTTTAAGAAATTGTATTTTGTTGCCTTGTATAATATGCTTTTATGTGGTTAGATTGCATTGAAGTTGTAAATTGCGTTTTGATTGTTCAGCATGGCCTAGGATGATTCTTTAAACTTATTTAGAACATAGACGTTAGGTGACATGATCACTTTAGTTGTTTTTGTATTCGAGACCGCAAGTTAATACCTTTAAGAACCTATATCTTATTGCTTTGTATAATGTGCTTCCATATTGTTTAAATGGCATAGGTGATGTGATTTATGCTAGAAACACTCTAAGGTAGCTTAGGATGCTCCCTGAGTCTCATTTCGATATAGACGTTAGGTGGCATGAACCCCTTTAACATGTTTCACCTTAAGGTGATAAATTTGTAAAATGCTAGGTCGATGCATGCTCATCTCCTACGAGTAGCTTTATGTTACTCACCCCTACGATACTGGGGCATATTTCAGGTACGAAGACTTGGTTCGTGACGCCTACCATTCCTTGGATGTCGTGTAACTTTCAAGTTTCCATTTCATGCAAATGTTAGCATAAAATGTCATTTTGTAGACTTATATGTCAAAATATGTATATTTGATTCCATGTATGTAATGTGTACATAAGTGCACTCCTTTCAATGTATTTGATATGTATGAGATGAGGCCGGAGGCCAATGACATGTGTATTGTATTCTATATAACTTTTTAACTTCATGAAATATTATGAAAACCTTGAAAAATCGCAAGTCATTGCTTCACCATGGTTGCATCGGGTGTGGGAATTCCATTTTCATTCTTTCATAGGGTCTTATTAATCATGTTTGAAGTGTGGCTAAGGGCCAAACGGTCATTTGATCCCGTTTTGTATTTTTGGATTCCGAGTTTTCATTCCAAGTTCCATTTTTGCCTTTTTGCCCGTTGGGGGGTCGGATTTTGTATCGGTGGTATTTTTAAGTCATGGACCATTGTAGCACGTCCAAATAGGTAAGTTACGTTTGCGTGAATGGTCGTTTCCGGGAAAAACCTTATCGTTTGTGTTTTGAGCCTCTTGTGAATTCATTTCGCATTTTTTTTGCATATTCTGATCTAGGGGCATTAAAGACTTTTCACGGTGGTTTTATTTTCTTCTTTCACTATGGTTGAATAGAAAACATGATTTTAGGGGGGTTTCTTTTCCGTGTTTTTCCAGAAAAAGCCATCTTGGCATCGGAAATCGCATCCGAAGTTCAGCTCTCAGTTTTTAAATTTAGCAGCTTTTTGGACCTTCTGGACCAGTTTTCTTGGGAGGGCATTTTGGGCATTTTACAGTGAGTTTTTTTCAATTTTTCTTGCGTGTCATATAGAAAACTCGATTTTGAAGGGGGTTTCTTCTTTGTGTGTTTGCAAAAAAGTTCATCTAGGCCTCCAAATTCAGCCTCTGTTCTGAATTTTTCTGAAAAATTACCCCATAGCAGCTTTATGGCTACTGTTGCCAGCCATGGTGCACCCAGCGCGCATGCGGCGTGCATGGGCGCGCGCATGGGCGTGCGCATGGGGCTGTCATGGCCCCTCATCGGGCCGTCGCAATGTCATTTCTTCTTTTAGGCGTTTCTCCTTCGTCCGGACTCTGATTCAAGTGAATTTTTTTTTGAACTTGACTAATTTTTCGCTGTCTTTCCAACGGTATGCTCAGTTGCACCCGGTTCTTCCTAAATAATTACCAGTTTACCCTTTTGCCTTAAGTGCTCGTTTTTCTTCGTCATGCCGTTTCTCCTTCGTCCGGACTCCGAATCATGCAATTCTTGAGTCCATCTTGATTAGTTTTTCGTTGTCCTTCCAGCAGCGTGCTCGATGGCACCGGAATCTATGGTTTTCAGAAATGACTATTTTGCCCCTGGGGGCTTATTTGTCATGTTTTCGATCTTTTGTTCTCGCATCAGTTCTTGTTGAGTTCCACGACCTCATGGAAGGTCACTTTGACTTCTTAGAGTCTTGTTTTCTGTTTTCGCTTCCACATTCAGATCCGTTATCGGGTCAATCTTCGGTTCATCACAGGACGCGCTGGCCTAAAAAATCAGGGTCGTCACAATAGCATCAATACACATAGACATGCATCAATAACACAAAATCTAGAGATAAACACATGAACATCTATTCTAGCATACATAGACATATGGATAGAATGAAATGACCAATTGGAAGCATTAAACCACATAAATCATTGAATAAACAAGATCTATTTATATCAAAGTGTCAAAACATCAATTACAACACTAATCCTTCAATAATACACAAGATTAAGATATAGAAAGCATGCTTGGGGCTAACTCTAGCCCCAAGAGGATGTCTAGCCACTCATGGTGATGATGCTCCAACCCTCAAGGGCTGACTCCATGGAAGAGGTTTGCTCCTTGTTGATGAAGATCTCCAATGGTGTCTCTAGCCTCCTCCTTCTCTAAACTTTCTCTCCAAGAGATGATATGAAAAGTAATGTTCCCCTTTTTTCTTTTTTTTCTTCCTCCTTTTCTTCAAAATGCAATCCTTATCCTTATATAGGTAGGTCAAAATGACACCCAAAATGAGCTAGGGTCGTGCACACAATATTCCCTAATGATTAGATAAAGGACAACTTTCAATGAGATGAAATTTTAACTTTTTCGCACTGGAGGAAGTTCGATCGATTGAAAGTAAGTGAGATCAATCGAACTTAGGCTGGATCGATCCATCTAGCTGAGCTTTTTGGAAAAAGACAAATCCGAGATATTTGTGGGAGATATTTATGGGAAAAGGACAAAAGTGGTTGGTGGGTGGTACAGCTGTGGATAGGATCAATCATTTAGATAAGGACAAAGGTGTTCGATCGATCGAAGAATGATGTTGGATCGATCGAACTTTTGGACTTAAGTGCTTTGGGTCAAGGCTTGGATCTATCTTGAAGTGCTGAGATCGATCAATGTTCGATAGATCGAACCTTGGACTTGGATCGATCGAACTTACTGCTTTACTTCATTTTACTTCTTTCTTCCTCCACTTTGCTCCTTTTTTGTTTAATCTCAGAATTGCTTTAATTAAGCTCTTATTTGGCTGAGTTAGCTTATTTTCGGGATAAGCGCCTGAAAATGGAAATAATACGAAATCAATCTAAAACGGTAAAGTAAGATAGACAAAGGACTAGAATGCCTAAGCTTAAGGGGTTTGAATACGCATTTTTCAGTGCTCATAATTGGTCATCACCTTTTGAAGCTTTATTTGGTTCACCACCTAATTATGGTGAACTTCATTCTTTTGGTTGTGCTTGCTACCCCTTTCTTAGTGACTATACTACTAACAAATTACAAGCTCGTTCTGTTGAATGTGTCTTTTTAGGCTACAGTACGCACCACAAAGGATATCGTTGCCTTAATTCGCACACTGGAAGACTATGCATTTCTAGACATGTTAAATTTGATGAGTCCAAATTTCCATATGCCACTGCACCGCTAAATGCGTTTTCTCCATCGCAACTTTTAGAGAATGACACTGTCTTTGTTCCGATTCTCTCTCCACAATCATCCTCCACACTGCCATCACCTACAACACCAAATACACCTTCTGCACTCATAGATCCAACCCTAAACTCTACCATATCTCAGGAACCTACACCTATTGCTCCACCATCCTCTGTAATGGTCTGTGGATCTCCTTCTCCAACTAAGCATATATTTACTTCAGCTCCACCATCTACTTCTCAACATCCTATGGTTACAAGGCTTCGTGATGGTACTCGAAAAGAAAAGAATATTCAAAGCATAGTCACCACTAAACACCCATTACCACAAGCCTTTGCGTCTCTTCTCCACACTGCAGACATTGAGCCAACAGGTTATACTAATGCAACTTGCTCTCCAGAGTGGCGTCAGGCAATGATTGATGAATTTAATGCTCTTTTAAAGAAAGGTACATGGTCTTTGGTTCCACCTTCTTCTTCTCACACTCCTGTTGGTTGTAAATGCGTTTTCAAAATTAAACGTCACTCTGATGGTTGCATTGAACGTTATAAAGCTCGCTTGGTTGCTAAAGGATTTCATTAACAACTTGGTCTCAATTATGATGAGACGTTTAGTCCAGTGGTTAAGCCTACGACAATTCGTACAGTCGTCAGTATTGCTATGAATTCTGGCTGGTCTATTCGTCAACTAGACATTAAAAATGCTTTTATTCACGGGTCACTCTTTAAAGAAATCTACATGGTTCAACCTTCTAGTTTCATTGATCCGACTCATCCTAATCATATCTTCAAGTTACATAAAGCCATCTACGGTCTCAAACAAGCACCACCTGCCTGGTTCCAAGAAATTAGTTCGTTTTTCCTTGCTTATGGTTTCATTCAAAGTCAGGCAGATTCTTCAATGTTTGTGTATCGTAAAAGGTTAGCTCAGGAGTTTGAAATCAAGGATCTTGGCCCTTTATATTATTTTTTGGGTGTTGAAGTAGTGCGTCATCCTGATCATTTGCTTCTATCGCAGACACGATACACATGTAATGTCTGTGTCTAATATATATATATGTGTGTATATATTTATGTATGTGTGGTATAATTTAAAACAAAAAGAAAAAGGAAAATGGAGGGACCCACAGCTTTTGTAAAATGGTCATAAGACCACGTTTGTTTTTTTGTTCCCTGTAATCTCACTCTCTCTCTCTCGCTGCCAGACCTTCTTCCTCTCGGCATTCTCTTTTTCTTTTTTTCTTTTACCAATTTCAAGGCTTGATTGCTCCCTCATCTCTTAGTGTTTTTAAGTGCCGTTTGAGGCAAAACGAAGCCCACGACGAGCTCTATGCGGTTGTACCAACAATTTCAGTTTTGGTGTTCATTTGTGCATTCGAGTTTAGAGACCCACTTTCAAGGGTTTTGTTCAATTTAGAGGTAAGGGCTCTTAATCCATGTTTTTCTTGTTCTATTGTGAATTATATCTCTCTTGTTGTGATAAGCATGTTTAATTTGGAAGTTAATTGTTTCAATGATTATATAAATGATATTTAGGAAAATTCATGATTATGAATATGAGTTGGAAAGCATGCTTAGATGTTGTCTTGTTGTGTTTAATGTGTTGATAATTCATTTGGAGATGTTAAATATGATGTATACTTAATTGTGTGGTGTAAAATTCTAAATGCCATAACATTGGAAGCATGGGACATATATACATATACATACCATTGGGTTTGCATGAAATGGGAGAATTTGCTTGAAACAAAAAGGGGAATTTTGGGAAAAGAGTTTTTTTTTTTTTTTTTTTTACGAAATGGTTTTATGAAAACTCGGTCGCCGCGGGGGTACCAAAGGGCCGGAGTGTTAATATAGCCTAGAGGGGACTAGGGAGTCGCCCTAGCGTGGTTGAGCTATCTGGCCCCTCGATGACGCTACGAGGTTACCAAAGGTCTAGGGATAGTAGCCAATCCTCCTCTCATGCCGCTGCGGGGTCACCAAAGGGCGGGTTGTATTAACAGTTTGAAAGTGATGGTTTGAAATGTGAAAATGGGGAGCGACATTGGCATGTATTTGCATTCCATGGCATTGTATTGTTTTCACTTGAGTTTGGTTGAAATGTTGTATTATCCCGACATTGTATGATCTCCATTCCTATTGATCTATTCTTTTTATGGATTCACAAGGACACAAGATGCGTGTCTTAAGTGCTACCTACTGAGCTTTATGCTTACCCTATTATTTAATAATTTTTTTCAAGAAACGGAAAAGAAGTGGCGGATGACATTCCACCACAAGCCTAATTTGGATTAGAAGACTTCTTTTTGCTATATTTGTATTAAGTCCCATATTTTTGTAAAAGCTTAGTCTGTTATATTTGGTATAGAGGTTTGTGGACTCTTGTTATTATAATTATACCTATGGGATGTAACTTTTGTATGAGCTGTCTAAATGTTGTAAAATATGGATATTTGATATAAATCTTATATTTTGGGACTGTAATTATGATATTCGGATGATATAGCATGTAGTTGTACCACTATGGAATGAACTAAGTTAAGGCATGGTGAATGGATGAAAGGGATGTTGGAATGTATTATATGTTTATGGTGCTGGGACAGGTTAAAAATGCATTTAAACACGCTGTGGTAGGCCCATTTTTTAGGGGAAGTCATGCCGAAATTTTTTTTAAATGGTATCAGTTTAGGGTCGTTACGACACATTAGACTTACTTTGCCGTAGTAATATGATTGATTGTAAACCATGCACTACGCCGATCTCTGCTCGTATGCACATGTCTGCTTTTGATGGGGCTTCTTTGTCAGATCCGTCTGAGTATCATCGTTTGGTCAGTGCATTACAATATCTCACTCTTACATGGCTAGAAATTTCCTTCGCCGTGAATCATGCAGCTCAGTTTATGAGTCACCCTCAAGAACCACATTTGGCTGCTGTAAAAAGTATACTTCGCTACTTGAAATGGTCTTTTGGGCACGGGATATCCTTTCAATATTCACCCGGTGCTATTCATCTTATTGCCTTCTCCGATGCTGATTGGGCAGGTTGTCCCGACAATCGTTGATCAACTACTGGATATTTTGTTTTCTTGGGTTGGTGTGCCAAGAAACAACCTACTGTTTCTAGGTCCAGTGCCGAGTCAAAATATCGTGCTCTTGCCTATGCATGTGCTAAGACTATTTGGATCCAGTATCTTCTTCAAGATCTTGGTGTTATAATCCCCGCTCCTACTACTCTCTATTGTGATAATCTTAGTGCAACTTATATGCCAGTTAATCCTGTGTTTCATGCACGCACAAAACACATTGAACTAGATTATCATTTTGTGCGTGAACGTGTTACAAGTGGCAGTCACCGTGTTCAATTTATTCCCTTTCAAGATCAACTAGCTGACATCTTCACAAAAGGTCTTTCGAAGCATCGATTTTCTTTTCTTGCTTCCAAACTGGTCTCTCTACCAACATCCAGTTTGCGGGGGAGTATTAGGCAAGAATCCCAAATCACTACTAATTAGGGATCTTTTCTTTATCACCAAATATTTAGATTCCTTTAAAGTCTAATTTACTTCCTCATTTATATCAATTCCTTATTGAATGGAATTATATCTTTTCTAGCTTTATTAGTAAATCAAGTACTGATGTATATAAATACATGTGTAAAGAGATGTAAACTATTGTACTACGTTTGGTGTGCAGGAATAGAATGGAATAGAATGCTCATTCCAACCATTCAGTTGTTTGGTGTGCATGAATGAAATAGAATGACCATTCCAATGGAATGAAAATCCATTCCATTAGTAAGATAAAATATTTTTGTAATATTCCCAATAAACCCTTAATCTCATTGTAATATGGCAAAAATATTTTGCATTCACCAAAAATCTGGAACATTCCATTTTTCATATTTATCGGCTTCTTTATTAGACGTCGTAAAAGTTTTTCATCTTCTCTCTCTTCTAATATACCCAGAGCTGCCATTAACAAAAAGTTACAGGATTTTCAACCAAATTGCAGGTATTAATTTCTTTATTTATTTATTTTTGATATGTAGGTATTAAATCTCTTTTATCTTCGGAGTATATTACTTTTTCATTTTTATTATTTATTATTTAAATGTTTTTTTTGTTATAATTTTTTTATTTTTTTTAGTTATAATTTTATTATTTTTTATTTTTTATTTTTATTTTTTTAGTTATAATTTTTTTATTTTTCTTTCCTCCAATGAAAAGGACATTTTTGAGAAAAGGCATTCCCTTCCAAATTTAATGATGCTCAACCAAACAACAGAATGGTAATAATTATTCTATTCCATAACGATTCACCGTGTCACACCAAACATTAAAATGGTAATAGTCATTTCATTCCATTCTCATTCTCATTCCATTTCAAGTTTTATTCCATTTCTTTCATGCATACCAAATGTAGCCTTATGGAATACAATTAAGAAATTATTCAGAAACCAAATTTAGCTCCTTTCCATCCCAAAAGTACCGAGAAATGCTACCCGACCGTCGAATTACGACAGGGAGGCATGCCGGAACGACGGGTTTATCTTCTTCGTGAAGCTTTTCTTCTTCGAATTCAAAACTTAATAAGGTTTTTAAGGAGTTTGAGAGAGTTAGGGGCTTAAGAGAAGATTTGGGATTAATGGGTATGATTTTTTGGGGAACTAGAATGTGGGTTTTGTGTGGTTTCCATGGATATTGGAAATGAGGAGCAACATTGGACGAAGTGTATAAGGTGGATTGCATGAGAATCGACCAAATTCTCTCTCTATATTTGTGTGTGTGTGTGAGAGAGAGAGAGAGAAAGCTCTGCGTTGAAGGACAACAGAAGACTAACAGCTTTTCCGCGGAATTTTGGTCATCTTTGAACTGAATATTGGTAGGGTTTGAGGAAGGAGGCAAATGCTGGTTTGCAATGTAAGAAAGATGGTGGATATACGATGTCGTTTGACTTCTTTTTGGATAACTGCAGAGTTTTGCAGCTAAACCAGCTTGGTTTGTAATTATTTATAGAGTGAAAAACAAATTAATAAAAAGATATAAATACAAATTGAATAATGAAAAACTAAAAATTAAGATTAAATTAGAAAAAGAAAAAAAAAAAGAAAAAAGAAAAAAGAAGATCTAGTATATGGGCATAAATGCACAAATTGAACCTTTGGGTTATATGCACGATTGTTTAATAATGACGAAGTGGAAGCTAAATATGTTCATAAAATAATAGAATGACAATTTTGAATCATAAAGTTAAGGAACTAAATTTGATTTTATTAAAATGGTGAATTGTGTCACTTGTGTGTGTAATCAAAATAATTCGAGTTGGTTTAAATCTCCCACAAAAATCCTTGAATATTCAATGCAATCTTGTAGGATTATAAAAAAACGCAACTTTGGGGCTCCAAATGAAAAGATGTGGCAAAAAAATGTCATGAATTAATAGTTAAAGTTTGTGGATTTTATTTATTGGGTCATTTCCGATCACAGTAAGTATTCTCGAGTCAAAATGATTTATAAAAAAGAAAGGTCTATAACCTAAGTTAACTCTTCATATTGAACATTTCAACAAAATCAATGCAAACAATAATGAATTAAAAAACCCGTAAAAAATGTCCAAAACCTATTGCAGAATTTAAAAAGAGTCACATGTACGCACACAAAAATTGTTCTGGATCTTGATTACTACTTTTTAAACGAACCAAAATAAAAATTAGACCAATAAGTTTATAAGAATGTCCACTCTAAAATTTCTTCTTCTTGCTCTACCCCTAGTTATTTATCAAAAAAATTTCCTGGATTGAGTCCAATTCTTCGTATGCTTTGGAGTATAAGACCCTTCCTACTAATTGTTGCCATGGAATTATCTTGAACAGGGACAAACATCACAACCACTCAGTTAAAATCACTTCACAATCACTCAATTTCGGAGAATGTTTGTACTTGGAGAAATTTGAATCACAATCTGACACGCAAACAAAACAAGTTGAATAAAACTAACACATTTGCTTCCACATCGAATTGCAAGTATTAAAAAACCCAATGAACATGTCAATCCAACAAGACCTTTATAATTATTTTTAAACAAGATTGGTGGTTTTGTAAATGTAAATTATTCAACTTGAATGTCCATAGAGCTTGGAATGAAGACGTGCAGTAAGTAAAACTTCAAGTGGGGTTGCCTTCAGGTTTGTGAGGCCTGAGCTCTCAGTCATATCCGCATCGTTGTGGGATGACTTGGCTATATCATAACAATGCAGCAAGCTAGCCAGTGTGAGATGCACTGTCTGGAGTGCAAGCCATATTCCCGGGCATGAGCGCCTCCCCAAGCCAAAAGGAAGGCGCTCAAAGTTCTGGTCTGAACTGGTGTGGCTCAGACCACACGTGCTCATCCCGGTGGATCTTCCATGCATTCACCATTAGGCATGTTCCGGGGACTTGATAGCCGGATGATAAGGTGCACTCTTCCATTGCAGCACGAAGACCAATGATTTGGACAGTTGGGTACAGGCGCAGGGTTTACTTAACAATGGCTTGGAGGAAGACAAGGTCCTTGATGTCTGATTCGTCCACGTGTCGTCCTTGCCTACGTGGGTGTCCAACTCATCTTGGGCCTTTTCCAACAAGTGTCGATTGTTTAGTAGTAGAGCTAGGGCCCACGTGAGAGTAACCATTGTGGTGTCGCTTCCTGCTAAGATTAAATTCTACAAGAAACAAAAACTTAATAACATGCATGAAAAATAAAATTCGGTGGCTTTCTCTATCTTGATAGGGTCAGGCCAATGAACCAAGAACAAAAATATACAAAAGGACAATCTTGACTTTGAGGCTCATTGTCCTAAATCCACCATAATATTCTACTTAAAGATGAAATTGAAAGAGGTTTGATTCAATTGAAAGGGACATGGCTTTGACAATTCTATTCCACAGTAATCTAATCTAAAGTTGTCCAGCTATATTTACTTGTAATAAAAAAGAAAAAATAATAATTAAAAAAAATAGAGACTAAGCCAGTGCATGAGACTCCTGCCATTGCTAGGTCTGGGGAGGATTAGACGTACAGAGTCTTACCTCATGGAGAGTCTGTTTTTAGTTTCGAATCCGTGACCTCTAGGCAAGGACGGACCTAAGAAATTGTATTGAGGGGGGCAATAGTGAGATTTTTTGGTGATTTTAGGGGGAGAGGGATTTCCCACACGGAATAGATGGTAGGTCTGTCCCTGCCTCCAAATTACAATGGAGCAAATTTACATGCGTGAATTGCATGTTCTCCAATCTCAGAGCAATTACTTTGAGTTATATCCAAAACAATACCACTAGAGTACGTTCAGTTGGGACATCACTTACCAGGCATGTAGCCTTGTTGATGGTTCAGATGGTATCAGTATCAAGAATGTTCAGCATCACATCCATGAAATCCTGCTCTCCTATGCCTTTTTCTCTCAGCAGCCTCTTCTGTTTGCGTTCCTCCAGCCACCCCCCAATCAGAGCGTCGAGTTCCTTTCGCAGTACTCTTCATAGCTTTCTTGTATCCTCCCCAATCCAACCACCCAAGAAATGGAATTTCATCTGATAACACAAAAACCCCAAACAGATAACCAAAATTCCTCATAACCTTCTTGTACCTTCGTCTCTCCCCTTCGTCGCACTCATCACTATTTCCAAAGTATCGCTTGCACTATTGTGTTGTGTGTCAAGTCGCCGAACCATTGCTTCATATCAACCAAAACTCCACCTTTGGCACTTCCCTTATCAGCCCACAACTCATACAGTTCTCTTATTGAAGTCTCAACTTCTGAAGCTCTTATGTGTTTGATCATATCAATCCGTCGATTAGATAGAAGCTCCAGCGTGGCTATCTTGCGCATCTCGCGCCAGCAAGGACCATAAGGAGCAAAGCCAAACATAGCAAAGTCATAACCTAATAGCTTCGATGCAGATATGCTTGGCCGGGTGGAGAAAACCCTGTCATGGACAGTAAAACACTCTCTGGCCATTTCCCAACTGCTGATAACCAGACTTTCATGTGAACTGAGCCTTAGAGTGAAGGCTGGTCCGTACTTATC